AAAAAAAAACAAATCTACCCTGGGATGCCTTGGAAGAAAGGCCTGGCGATCTGCTTCTGAAAGGTCACAGATTTGAAAGCCCTTCTCGGCACACAAAGGATCACCATGAGTTGGAAGCGACTTGATAATTAACAACAACTAGAGCCAGAGACATCTGTGTGCGGCACCACCTCTCTGTGGCTACTTTACCATCTGCATGGTGTGGGCAAGGAGGGTGACCGCTCTGTGCCTCAGTTTCCCCACTGTACCATGGAGGCGCTTTTACTTCTGTGATTATAATGCCCACAGAGGGCTGGCCCATGTGTGTGGTTCCAATACAGAAGTTGTCTGTAACCAGCATCCAATCACCCAGGATCTCCTTAATATGCAAGGAGGTGTGGTGGACCCGTGGGTAGGGAATTGCTCTGCCAGCCCACAGGTCGGTGGTCCAAGCCCATCAGCTGCTTTTCAGGATGATGCAGAACAACATTCATCTGCAGATTCTGATCCAATCGGCGTGGAGAAGGCAGAGAGTGTACTTGTAATAGTCTCCTTTCCGAGGCTACACTGAGGCTAAGAGACTGGAAGCCTGATGTGGGCAGCCATGCTCTTCAGGGCTACGCCAGGGGGACAAGAGGGGAATGTTGGGGTCTGGTTGCCAGCCTGGCACAGCTTCCCCCACCAGCAGCCTGGGAAGCAGCGCACCATCCCTATGGGTCAGCTCTCTGGCCTCAGAGTAATTAGTTTAATCATTTTGTTCGGTGTTCTGTTTGTGCTTACAGCTGAGGCCTGAGCGTGGAGAAGAAGAGAGCAAGGAGACTCAGGGAGTGTTTTCCCCCCCGCCTTGCACAGTGATGGCTGGAGCGGGAGCCAGTGCGTGTCTGGGGTAGGACCTGGGCGCCAGGCTACCTTGGGAACCATGGAAACAGACCTCCTGCCTCAGATCCTCCTGGGACTGTGAATGGCTGGGCTTGGCAAGAGACAGTGATGCTGGTAAGAACAGTCTCATCTCTTATTATCCTTCAAGTTCAACGACAGCAGCGGTGTGCAAATTGGGCTGCTCATCAGAATTCCCCCAAGTGTAATATATCAAAAAATACCAACGCCTGGCCTTCCCTGGAGATAGGAGTTGTCAGCTACGGAGAAGTTTGCTCCTTGGGGACACTGACTGGTGTCTGCAGGCATTTTTGGTAGCAGTGGAGGCCAGGGAAGTGGTTAAACACCCTTTAATTCACTGGAGAGCCGCAACGAGGAACCAACCCAAACCCAACCCTTTGCCACTGGGCCTGACTCATGCTGACCCTGTAAGGTGGGGCACAGCATAGCACCCGGTTTCCGAGCCATAGTCTTCACAGAGGCAGACCTCGTCACATCTTTCTCCTGCTCAGTGGTAGATAAGCGTGAAGCCACAAAGCCAAGTGCTCAGCCACGCCACCACCAAGGCTCCTTAATGAACAATTATCCTGCCCTTCAAGGTCAATGTTGTTATTTAATCATTGAGCTGGAACCAACTCATAGCTGACCCTCCTGTGGGTTTTCAGAGACAGTAAATTGCACAGGAAGGACGATTTACCTGCCTGTCTTTCCACCAGGGAGCAGCTGGTGGATCTGAACTCTGTGCCTGTGAGTTGGCAGCGAAATTACCCTGGGTGCACACACTTCGTGCCCTGAAACACGTCTGCAAGAGCTATGTCAGGAGGTGCTGACTGAATGGAGGTGGTCTTTGCATGTCACCTGGGAACAAGGTTTTTGCTACTACTTTGCTGTGTGACCATGATAAATTGATGTGTCTTTCTGTGCCTTGGTTTTGCCAATAATAATAATAATAATAATAATAATAATAATAATAATAATGATGTTGTGTGCCATCAAGCCGGAGCAGACCCATAGCTGACTCTGCCCAGGTTCTCAGAGGCAGTAAATCACACAGGAGGAGATTGCTCATCCTTCTCCCATGGAGCAACTGGTGGATTCGATCTACATGCCTTTGGGATTGCAGGGCAGCTTCTTACCACCAGGTTACCAGAGCTTAATAACAACAACAACAACAACAATAATAATTTGTTTTTGTTATGTGCAGTTGAGTTGCTTGTGACTCATAGTGACACTATGTTCAACAGCTCTGAACCCTGCTCTATCCTGAGCCAATTCCATTCTCCGATACACCCATCCCCATTACCCCAGTCACTGAGTCAATCCATCTCATCGGGGGCCATCCCTTCCTGCGCTGTCCCTCCACCCTCCTAAGCACGATGCCCTTCTCCAAGGACTAATAATAATAATAATAATAATAATAATTGCTATTATCTGCCCCATAAGGCAGTTGTGGGGGCTTATTGAGTTAATACAAATAGGTGGTCAGAATAGCTTTGGAGCGCTTAGTAAGATGATGCAAACGGCATGTGATTTGCTGACTTAAAGCCTGGAGGCTCAGACCCCCTGGAGAGCCCCTTATATAAAGCTCCCAGGTAAGAAAGCCCAAGGAGGACAGGTCTACCCTGCGACACGCGGGGTGGCGACAAGTCAGGACTGACTCAACGGCTACGGTTTGGCTTACTGGTTAATGATGATGACGACTTTACTATTATTATCAAAAGCCAGGCTGTGCCTCGGACACCAGTGCAGGCGAGCACGGGGTGGAGCGTGCGGCGGGCTCACCTGGAAGCGGTGGAAGTCCTGGGGCTTGAAGTCGTTGGGCGAGCAGCCGCACCAGTCCACGATGTGCTTGTACTGGCACTTGCAGCCCAGCTTGCGGTTCCAGTTGGTGATGCGCAGGTTGTTGTCCACCATGGTGTCGCAGTGCGGGCTGTTCTCCAGGACCGTGTGGAAGAAGGACTGCGGGCGAGACAAGGGCCAGCTGAGACCTCGTCCTACCGGCCCTGGAACCACCCAGCTATGAAAAGTGATTCCTGGAAACGCATTTGTTCTGTCTGTGTGCCAATGGGGTCAACCAGGAGTGTGGTGCTATTTGGGGTAGGCTGGGCTGTCTCGGATGGCATGGCGCCATGCTGCTTAGAATCAATCCACTCTTCCGAGTGTGTCCAAGTTGCCTTTCCCCAACCTTGTAAACCCTGATCCTAGGACATGCCTCATCAGCCAGCAGAAAGACCAAGACTAGAGGAAAACATGCAGCCATTTCCCAGGAAACTTGGAGCCAGAAGAACTCTTGTTTTGCAAAGACATGTAAAACCAACGTGATTCAGGATAAGCCATTCTGATGATAAAAGGATAGTTTGAAATCTCATTCTGTGAAAAGGGAGGCTTGTCTAATGGATGCACCCAACTTGGTGCTGGAAGGCGTCCCAGGCATCCTCTTGTCAGCCTCTTATGGAGTCTGCCCACAACTGGCAGAAGGGATTTGCCCATAATACTGAACAGGCATCACTGCTGTTCAACCCCTAGGACTCTTGGGCAATATATCCTAGGAATCCGAGAATAAAGGGATGTTGAACATGAAAAGAAAGACAAGAGCTGGAGAGAGAGAGTGAGAGAGGAGAGAGAGAGAGAGAGAGAGAGAGAGAGAGAGAGAGAGAGAGAGAAATTCCACTTGGTTGCTATTTTACAGCAATCTTTACCAATTTGTCACATATGGAGGCTCGTTGGTTGCTCTGATGCTTGAAGCTACACACCACCAGGATTCCTAACAGTAGGGTCAGTCACAACATTCAGGTTTCAGAAGACTAGCAAGAAAGGTCTGGCAATCTATTTCTGAATCTAAGTTAGTGAAAACTATCGATCAGCACAGAATACTGTCCAAGACTTGGGATTACTTGCTAGATGTGATGAGAAGGATGGATGGTGGTGAAAGTGAGGGCCAGTGAAGGTGAGGGAACCCACTCTGAGAGGGACCTATGATGGTGACAACACTCACACTCATTGATGGCCATGAAGATGGCATGAAGCCGGGCATATAAAGTCACTGTGAACAAGTATCACACCAATGACAACCAGCAATACTGCGTGAGCACTCTCGGGCCACAGGCATCTGCGTTCTGGCCTGCGCTCTGCCCTTGGAGAAGTACTACACTTGCCTGTTAATAGAGTTATGGACACAGCCTTCAGCTGTCTTCTAACTTTGTTCCCTCAGGGGGAGAGGACAAGACAAGAGAGGCTGGAATGGAAAAGATGGGACTTCCCAGGGGTGCTGAGTATATACTATAACATATACGAAAATAATGTGCATTAAGCTTTCCGGGGTTTTCTCACAGCTGAATTTTCCCCCTACTTAGATATCTTCATAAATTAGCTATGCTGGTTTTGCTTGTTTATTTTGCAACATAGAAAACAATCAGCACAGCATTAAAGCAGGGGATGAAGGGAGGGTGTGTTAAAAAAAAAAGGATAACAGCAGGTACATTATTTCTAAATACATTAAAAATACAATGTGTTGTGTGTGTCCGGACAGGGAGTGACATGAGGCATTGCCCAGCACTGACCATAAGGGATGAGGGTCTCTTCATTAAAAAACTCCATCTCCAAACAATCTCTCCTATGCCCAGCTCCCCACTGTGATGCGGAGAATCAGAACTTTAAGCTTGAATTGGCTACAAGCCCACAGAGCTGCGCTCTCTTCATCAAGTGCGGGGGAAATGCCCAATTACCGAGTGCCCTGTGGCCTTTCTTAATGATACAGAAATTTCTTACAAGACAACAGGCGAGGAGGTGATTTGGAACTGAGAGAAAGGGTGCTGCTCACGGTGGCAGGACAAAAGCTGACCGCTTAGCATGTGTGCAGAATAAAAAACCAGGCCCTTGAGGACCTGCCCATCAGCCTTCAGAGGGGACACGACAGGCAGGGTCAGAGGAACGGGGAGCTGTCTCTGACAAGAGCTGAGAACGGTGAGTGTGATATACTGTCATGTCTGATCTGTGGAAGCACACACAGCTGGGAGTGTGGCCCAGTACTGGGGGCACGGACAGGGAAGGGACAGTGGGTCACTCACAGGTGAGGTCCAAGGCCCAACAGCAAAGGAACCAACTGTGGCACTGGAAATTGGGATGAAACAGAATTGGAAATACAGAGGATGAATGCTGTCTCCCTGAGCCCTTGTCTGATGAGAAAGCCGGCATGTTCACACCAACACCACAGAGCCAGCCCTCTCCTTTCTCGACAAGGGTGGGTGTTTTAGGGGAATTTTTAATCCTACACTCAGCCAGGCTTCCTTTGATAGATATAAATGGTGGTGAGCTCTCCTGAGTTTTTCAAATGCTTCCAGGAGTCCAAGGAGAAGGGCTGAGTCCATATTCTTGGCCATTTGAGGCTAGGGCTGGCCCAGTGGGGGGCCTGGCTCACTGTCCCTGGGGCCACCAGAACTTCCAGAATATAACTGATAAAGCCAAAGCCACGTTCTCTGAAGAAGGTTTGGAAAAATCAGGAAGGGGTTCCTGCTGTTGAAAGGGAGGAGTTTTTACATGACTAGTGATCGAGGAGATCTGGCTGAAGCGGATAGGAGGATCTTCTGACAGGGCTGCACCGTACAGCTGTGCAGGGTTTCCACTGTGCAAATCCAGGCAGTGCTAACACCGTTGTACGTATCAGGCTGTATATTGCAATGGCTTTCAGACCAAAAGCAGTAAGTGTCTTATTCTTACACACTCAGAATATCAAGATGATTTTATGATCGATGGGTCTCAAGGAGGGGCTTGCAAACAGGTGCTGTGTCTCACTGCAGGGGGCAATCCCATTCACCCCTGAGGGGCTATGTGGACTGCTGGTGTACCCCACACCACCTGTGAGGGACCCTGTGGTGTCAGTGATACTCCTCGTGGGTGGTGTCACTCCCCCCCTACTTTGGGCTGCCCTCAGACTGTGCATGTGGGCACAGGAAGCCCTTGCCAAGACTTCAGCAACTGCCCCTGTGCAAAGGTCACACACACTAGCCCTCCCTTTCTCGGGGCACTCACCTCAGCAGGAAGCAGGGTGTAGGAGTAGAACTGCTTCATCTTGGTCACCAGATCATCTGTGGAGAATGTCACATACTCCACAAACTTGCGGTTCAGCAGGAACCAATCGGAGCCGCCATCCACCGCGATGCCCTCCGGGATGCGCCGATCCCCCAGGCGCCACATGTGGGCATCACACTCGAGGAACAGCCGGTCCAGGCCCTGTTTCCGGATGAACCTGGGCGAGACAGAGCAGCCTTATTACAGAGGTTCTGAGAGGGAGATGCTTCTCACCCAGAGCTCGAAGGAAACAGCAGCAAAAGTAGCCCTCACAGAGCATGGCTGCATGCCAGGCACCGAGCCACAAGCCCTCCTCGGAGCTCATCACCTGTTCCCTGCCCCTCCAGGGTTCTTTATCACCCCGTTTTCTAGATGGGAAAACCAAATCACTGAGTGGTGAGGAGCCCTAAACAAGCCCAGTCAGGCAGTGCTTCTCATTAGTTTCAAATCACGTCTCTTCTGCTATTACGTACTGCCATGGGGAGCCCATTCCTACCCACAGCAACCCTTCTATTGGTTTTCTGCAGCTGGACATATTATTTTAAACATTTTGCAGTGGTGATTTGAGGGAAGGTTTACAAAGCATATGATTTTTTCAATCATTCATGCAAATTTTGTTCCATAACATTGATAACAATTCCCACAGTGTATGATCATCCAATCCATCCATGCTATCTTTCTCTTGACCCATATTAACAAGCATTATTGCTGTTGTTGTTGTTGTGTACTGCCAAGTTGGAATGGACCCATAGCTAAGCCTCTGGTGGGTTTTCAGAGGCAGTTAATCACACGGGAGGAGATTGCCCATCCTTCTCCCGTGGAGCACCTGGTGGCCTCAAGTCATGTCTTTGTGATCACAGTTCAGATTCTTACCAGTAGGCCACCAGAGCATTATTACCTAGTAATGCATTTTCTAGGAGCTCTGGTGGCCTAGTCAAAGGCAGTTGGTTTGAATCCATCAGCTGCTCTGTGGGAGAAAAAATGGGCAATCTCTTCTTATGTGATTTACAGTCTTTGAAAATTCACTGGAGGGTCAGCTATGAGTTTGTTCCAACTTGACAGGAGTGAGTTGGTGGTACTGAACTGATTTTCTACTCCTCCTTTGCCTCCATGATAATCATACTTGAATGATCCTCCATGTATGAACCTTCCTTGAGCCTTAAATACCAGTGATTGTACACATCATTGGTTCTTCTGTGACTGCCACATCTCACCCTGTTTAATGACTTGTAGACACGTCCAGGTTATGCAGTGTTACACGAATTTGTCACTGTTCTTCAAGGCTGCATAGTACCCCATGGTGTGAATGTACTATCGCTTCCCTACTGATTCATTCACTGAGGTGTTTCTAGTTCTTTGCTACTTCTAAACAAACAAAGCAACAACTCATTGTTGTGGAGTCAGAACCAATGCACAGCTGACCATCCAGGGAGTTTTCAGGGGCTGTAAATAGCTCCGGAGAAGAGTGTCCACCTCTTCCTCCCAAGAAGTAGCTGGCGGACTCCAACCATCTGCCTTTAGGGAGATTTCTGACCCACACGACAATTTCTGACCCACACGACCACACCACAGACATGGGCTTGTGTGTATCTGTGAGTCAGGTAGTTCCTCCAAGGTTGTAAATCTGAATGGGAGGAGACTGTGCATCTTTCTCCTTCAGACCCGCTCCTGCTGCTGGATATGAGCTCCTGGAGATAGAGAGCCTATTATTAGCAACAGAGCTTGGGACAGGCTTTCCAGAAGAGTTCCTGACCTCTTCTCTCGGTCTGGAGCCACTGGGGCCTCGACAGTTTGGTGACTACATTCATCTCAGTATAATGCTCTTAAATGCATGCAATAAAAATATAGGATTGCAAAACATTTTTTAAAAACCACTGAGTTTATAGTATAATAAAACACAGGATATAAACACATGAAATAACAAGATCTAATGGTGGCCCTAATCCTTAAAGTGACGCTGAAGAAGTGGTCAGCATAAATAACATTTAGAGGTATGTGTACCAATTACAAGGAGCCCTCGTGGCACACTGGATTAAAAGTGAGGCTGCTCACTGGAAAGTCAGCAGTTCGAATCCACCAGCTGCTCTGAGGAAGAAGGCTGCGGTCTTCTTCTGTTACGATTTACAGCCTCAAGAACTTGATGAATGATGACCATAAGTCAGAAAGACTCATATATACTTTGTTTTAGAACATTCATGACAATACCCATAATGTAATTGGATATTTCACCTGCCTCCCTGGAATTATCATTTAGAAATGCATAATGGAGGGTGAGTATGGGGAAGGTGGCACGCGTGTGCCACAGTCATGGCTGGCTGCTCGTGGCTGGCACCTGACGACAGTCCCCTCCATCATGACAGTGGTGGAGGTGGAATTACGTAGATGTGCACCGCTGTTGTTAGGTGCCGTCAGGTTGACTGTAACTCACAGTGACAAGTTAGGAACAATGAATCAAAACCTGGCCCCGACGTGCTGCGTCATCACGCATGCTGCGTCATCACGCGCTCCACCCCGCGGGAGCCCGCTGCTGCAGGCACTGCACTAGTCCGTCTTGTTCAAGGTCTTCCTCTCTCTCTCTGACCTTTCCCAGCACGATGCCGTCTTCCAAGAACTGGATCCTCCAGACAACATGCCCAAAATAAGTGAGATGAAGTTTCACCACCTCTCCTCTAGTGAGCACCCTGAGTGAACTTCCTTCAGGCGCAACATAAGGACAATCTGGGTTCCAAGGGGGTAAAAATATTCCATGTCAACATGCCATAAGCATATAATTGACAAGGGGTAAAAATATTCCATGTCAACATGCCATAAGCATATAATTGACAAATCTGGGGGTGGGTCAGGCCTAGCACCATCCATGGTCTTAAGCAAAGTCATCAAAAGGTGATTGTATAACACTAATAAATTTTTGAGGGGGGGAAGTCAACTGGGGGAAAGGGAAGGGAGGGCGAGGGGGTAAAATGTGCAAGAATGAAAATCTAACTTCCCTGTAAATGTTTGTTAAAATCACAAAATAATATTTTTAGTTTTTTACAAAAGAATCACCCTAAAAAAAAAGAATCACCCTGCCACCATCACTTTTTGATCGTTTTTTTCCTGTGCCACCTCCTTTATGAAACAATTTTACACTCATGGTGGCAGGATGGGTGAACAGTCACCCAAGACTCCTTTTCTTCTGGTCAAAAATGTCTTCCCAGAAAGACTTGCTCTTCATTCATTCCAGCCTCAAATCTAACTTGAGTTGCTTGCCCATCCTTGAACCCGCCCTGGCAGCCAGGCGGATGGAGGACCCAGATGGATTCAGCCTCTGTCTGGTTCTCACCCCTGTTACTGGCGGAGAAGTGTTAAGTCCAAGGGATCTTAGAGTTAACAAAGAGTGGCTGTCCCACATCAACTGGAGGCAAAGTCCTGGTACAGATCAGGAACAGGCGCTGGGCAGGCAAAGCAACATGGAATGTGTCACCGGTCCGGAGAGACCTCCTTTTGAATCAGGCTGTTGTGTCTAGAATGCCCACATGTTCTTTGTCAATAGTCACTATCTAAAACTCAGCTTCCCCCCTCTTCCACTGTCTTCTTCCTCACCCTAACCACCAAACCCATAGTGTTCCTGACGTTTCTGGAAGGGACTGGTAAATCTGTATCTTTAGCACTTTCTTCACATGAGCAGAAGACTTGTCCCACCTTGTTGGCCACTCACTGAAGAAGATGATGCAGTAAGCTTCACTGTGTATGCAGAACTGATGATGTAATGCAAAATGATGACGGCAACTCTAATGGGTGATTCCACTTACCTCAGTTTCTTTCGAATCCCGGCTGAACTGGGTGTGTATTGCAAAACTAAATGCATTGAGGGCTCAGAGTCACCTTAAAGCATTAGAAGGGCAGTGGAGTGAACAGAGATGTGGAGAATACATGTTCAAAAAGGCACTCAAATTCTCTAATTGTTGTTATTAGGGGTCACTGAGTCGAGTACGACTCATAGTGATCCTGTGAATAAAAGATCTGAACCCTGTTCTATCCTGTGCCATCATCCTCACACCTCTTGACACACAAGAGCCCATTGTAGCAGTCACCATGTCAGTTCACCTGGTTGAAGGTCATCCTCTTCTTTGTCCACCCTCTACCCTTCCCAACATCATGTCCCTCTACAAGGAATAGCACCGCCTAGAAATATGTCCAAAGTGTGAGGCAAAGCCTCACCATTCTCCAAAGAGAACTCTGGCTACACCCTCTCTTAAGACATATCTATTCATTCTCTTGGCTGTCCATGGGATATTCAGTGCTCTTCTCCAACACAAGAGCTCAAAGGTGTCAATTCTTTTCCTGTCATCCTTATTCACTGTCCAGGTCT